GTAGTAGTCGTCGCAGCAGTAGTAGTAGTGGTAGTAGTAGTAGTAGTAGTAGTAGTGGTATTTAGTAGTAGTTGATTTTTGTCACCACTTGGCACGCCAGAGACAGCACTGCTGGACTCGAAGGCAACGATAGATCAAGCGCCCAATGATCAGGAACGCGATCCAATTAAACCCATCAGGTGCTCAATCAACACTTCGAGGGAAAACGACTAATCTTATCTGCGCTGTATGATGAGCTGCAACAAATTTGTGCCAACGAGTAGCCCCGGATCTGAAGCAAAGGAACACACACACACACACAAGTAAGATAAACCCTTAATGACAGGCTCAAAGTTAATAGTAGTAACACAGTAATCAGAACAATAGCAGCAGCATTAGCGTAGCTACTCCTGAAAGGTCCAGCTGCTCTCATGTACTAGGCGATAGGCGAGTCGGCAGGTGGCCTGGTACACGCGCACCTCACAGTTGTCGAACTCCCGGGCATCCGGAACTCCAAGACGCCCACGTTCGAGCTCCCGCCTGAAATGCTTCAACAATGCGCCACGCGTGCCAGCAAGAGAACTTCATCTCTACGAGAAATTGCACACAGGCTTGGAAACACCACTTCAGTAGTTATATGTGCCTCGGTAGCTGTTCCGCACAACATAGACTCTCCCTACATGTTTTTCTTGACCCTTGCTTGTGCCGAGTCTCAGATAGCCCTTGTGGGTCACCACAGCCAAGCAGCCGTCTGCCTGCACAGTCGCATGGCAGCTGCAGCAGTCTCTCGACAGATGAGCTCACGGAGCGGTGCCTGTTCACGCAACAACGTCTCCATCAGCCCTGTTCGGCTACGCAGCTCGTTCTTGTCCTGCAAGACTTTGCGCAATACTGTGCCTTGTCAGATTCAGTGTGCTTTAGATCAACTTGGGTCAATAGGTATGGCTGATCTGGTTGGCTTGCAGTGCTCTCCGGCGCGACTTCCCTCCCGCCAAATCCTCTTCCCCGTCTTCTGCACCAGGGCATTGTCGGAAGTTCTGCCGGTCGTGACTGCGCAACTCATCCTCACATCGTCGAGGGATAACAGACAATTCGTGGCTTCTGCTGCTTTTGGCCTGATGGGCTCTGCTTCATGATGAATCCGGTAAACATGTATCATGCTCCTAACCACCATGTAAGATTACACCGCTTGTGCCGGTTCATAACAGTCCGAAACCTGGCTGCACTAGCCCTAACAGTACTCTATATCGGCTACGTTTCTCGTAGCGGCTACTTTTGCTACCGATTGTAGAGTACTTATGATTACATCTGCTGGTGAAGTACTGCTACCTTTGTTTGTTTCAGACCACCGAGGCGCAAAAGACATGAAGTTGAAGGTCTGTCGCATTGCAACTTGGTCGGCACGCTGGCGCTCGTCGCACGGCAAACCCGTGCGACGTTCACGAAGCTCTTCTCGAACCTTGTACTGATGGAAACAAAAGGCTGAAAATGGGCTTGAAGATAATAGACTCGACACACTAGAAGAGGACTGGCACAACGATAGCCAACAACTTGCGAAACAAATGGTGGCAGCAGAAGTAATGAACATGGCCGCTGTGACCCTAAAACTCATCACCATCAAAGCCCAGATGAGGACCGGAAATCGAGGCAAACTTGTTCAGACACATAGCCAGAAGGACGGATCATCCACGTAGCCAATAGGAGGTATTCGTGTTACTGCTAAGTTCCCCCACACACGAATCAAGCAAGTGTTTGCCGAAAGCAGGTGAGGTTCATGAATGCTCGGATGCTCCGGGAAGAGGATCGCCGCCGTTTGCAGAGTCCGTTGGAGAGGAGAGACGTAGATAGCCGTGGGCTGCGGGTAGCTTTGCCTGAATTTGTAGCAGGACGTATTGCCGGCCACCCATATGACTGGTAAGGAAAATGTCTCCGAAAAGCTTGGGTGTGTCTCGATCATTGAAACAAGTTGCATCGTCAGCCTCTTGATTTCAGCAAGGGCATCCAATGCTTGCATCTTGCCAGAAGGTGACAGAGCAGCATCGTGAAGGGTCTCATCCTGCAGCACCTGCTTCCTGAAAAATCAGAAACAAGAGGCCGTCTACATCACTTCTAATCCCCCAGAAGTGAACTAGAGAATAGTTTGCATAGGCAGACCCCACGCCACGTCTGTTTGTACAGCTGCGCGCCTGGCCGTTTCCACGCGCGCCTGCACTTGCACATGAGCTTCATTCGCTCATCCCGCACAAAGAAGCAAGTGGCTGTCAAGAAACCGAAGAAGCAAATCAATTTCCATTCAACAACATTCAGCGCTGTCTTCCTGAAACTACAAACCTACGAATACTTTCCTTAACCTGTTAACCGAAGCAGAACCGGCATGAGGACTAGAGCTCCGAGATCGGCTATCGCGCCTGAAACTCGCCCGAGCTGGGCGTGAGGCCATCGGATAAGGCTTGCTGCTTGGCGGTCAGCTGGGCCTGTTTTTCCTTGATGTTGTGGACCTGACGGAGCCATGGAGACTACTGATGTGCAGCGGAACGAGAGAACCAGGCTTCGGCAAATAAAGCTTTCGCGCCAGGCGGCTGCCTCGCCATGCCGCACCAAGTAGAGAGTCTTGACCTGCTTGTGGCTCATGGCTTTTTGTGCATACTGATATACATGATATACAACATTCGTAAAGACAAAAGTATTGGCTAGTTCAGCAATGACAAGCAAAGTAGTGCCTGAATTGCAGAGGCGGCAATCTCTTGCTGTTGCTCTTACGCAGAACTCCCGCAGCCTCCGGCGGCTTGAGATCAGGATGGCAACCTGGGGTCCCCAACATAGGACGATCGCTACTGCTACCCGATGCAAAACCCTGCACTCCTAGTTTTCCGGCCAACATGGGAGACTGAACCCTAAACCGGGGTTGTACTTCATTGAAACCCTACGACCCTAAGACCCTAAGACCATGCTTCCAACTTTCATGGCAGGCAGCTGCTCCAGCATTCGCTTCGAACACGCTGGCAGCGAGCGAGTGGAAGTGGCTGCGGTCTGGACCTGGCCTGCGCGAGGCAGCCTTCGTCCGCTTCGATCAGCCTTGGGTTGGCGCAAAACCCTCGAGGATCACCCACAGGGCCCCTAGCAACCACGGAGCTACAAGTTGTGTGACCGTATTCGTCCGTGACTGTATTACCTGCCTTCCTTTTTCCAAGCTAGTTAATGTTTTTTCTTCATATTTGGTTCTAGACTCTATGGCCATTACGGCGATATCATCATAACAGGACCCCGGGATATTGTTGCAAGTCTCCGAAGCATCTTGGTACATAGCTGCATAAACAAACTTCAGCGCAGCACGGTCGGATCCGAGGCGCTCCAAAGCTTGGTCCACGGTCAGACGGTTCGCCTCTCGGGTTGAGTGGGAAAATTTGTTTGGGTAGTTACGAATACGATGATGTTTCTGGTTTTCCATAGGACCTTCCACTGGATTCATGCACACATTATGTATCTTGACACGGTGGGTCTGCAAGAACGAGCATCGACGCGCTTGCAACCCTGCCCGCGCCACTGCACATGAGCCTACGAATAAAGTTCCAGGATTGCTGTTGGCAAACTAGCCGCAGCTAGCTGTTGAAAAGAAGCGTCGGTCTCGTGGAAGTGCAGTAAGTTCTTTCTCTGCCTGTGGTCTGATAATGCCCAGTTCACGTACTGCAGTATCGCTTTCTATCATCCGGGAGCAAGGGGGGTAAAGCCCCCAACAAGGATTCTAGAGTCCTAGAGCGCGTTCAACATGCCTTGCAGCGCCGCATAATTTCTTAAGAGCACTCCGTAGTTCCATGGGGATGATGACAGTGACCTAAGCTCATGGTACAAGTTATCATGACTTTTCGGCTGCGTCCCTATTTTACATCCAATGCCGCATGAGCCTTAAGGCTTCATCTCGTATGCCCCCGCAGCTTTGGAAAAACGCTTGGTTTTATGAGTTGTCCTTTCATCAGCCTGCTCCGGGTTGAGCAGTTGGAGTACCAACTGCTTGCTGGCGTCCGAGATCTCCTTGAAAACAGCATCGCCGTCAAGGGCCCGCCTCGGCGTGGGACTGCTCCCAGTCTTACACTGCACCTGCTCTTAATGGGACTTTCCGAAAATTAGGGTACCCTAATTTTGGGGTCCTTATCATAAGGATCCTACTAGTTAGGGTGCTATATTCGGGTCCCCTATTTTCGGAAACCCCCGAATCCTTGCTCCGAATCGGACAAAGGGGCTCGTGCGCCTCTCGCAGCTCGGAGAGGGAGGAGGCCTGACGGCCCAAGCTTCTGATGTCTCTTAGGATTGCCGACGCCCCAGTGTGATTAGTATAGCTATGGTGATGGCAGTGACAGCTGACCATTCCTTCCTTGTTCCCGCAACGTCCATATCACTCTACAAGAACAGGCAACACAGGGGCAATCTCATCTTCCCCTGATCGGTGAGACAACTCAGGGGACGCCAGAGATTGTCATATTCATATATAGCTGATGTCGCTGAACACGTCCCCGCACGTTGTTCATTCCATCTGTAGTACTACTTTTGCTCTGTCGTTGTTATGTGAAAATCGGCACCATGCTTCCTACTTGTACATTTTACTTGGTTACTCTGACTGTCACATGTAGTATCATACAACTACACCCCTGGAATCAATGACAGCCAGCAGTGTGTAGCGCCTGGAAAGGAAGATCCCCAGAAAGAAGCACGAATGCCATGACGCCGATGGCCTCGGAGATGCAGCCCAGGCCCGAAACCCAAAACCGCTACAAGACAGAAACCAACATCTATCTATCTATCTATCTATCTATCTATCTATCTGTATCTATATCTATATCTATATATCAATATATCTATATATCTATATATCTATATATCTATATCTATATATATATATACATATAGATATAGATATATATAGATATAGATATATATATATATATTATGCGACCAACACCCGAAGCAAAGCCCAGCAATAGTCTCTGCGAAACCCAATTCCAGGGAAGGTGTGCATAGAAGCATTTGAAGGACCCCCAAAATTTATGGCCTGGACGCCGGAAGCCCTAACAATCATTGCGACATGATTGCTAGATTCTGTATTGCTAAGCTACCGCCGGGATGCACTTTTTTTGTGTAGGGGAGGAGTGCGTAATTACTAAAGTTGAGGAATATTTTGAGCCATTTCGGGCGCATTAGTATCATTAGTATCATTCATCTGCTTCTGCTCGGCGGCCCACATGTCCGCCGCAGGCGACACGTCTCCCAGCAGAGCCTCTGGGCTCAAGAAGGGCCCAGTGCCGCACCAACTTTTCGAGATCAAGCGGTCCGGGCGAAAGCACATCGTCCTCGGCACACGGGAACCATTCGCTGGCCAATGGAAAGACCAGCTGAATACTCACAGCCACTTCTACTAGACCCCCTACCAGCATGTGGACCTGCCGATCCTGCATCCATGGCACCCCACCACGTCGACAAGCTTGAGCTCGCTGGAAGGTCCTGATTAGTGCGGGCTTTGGCAAAAAACAATTGCTACAGTACGACTACGAAACAAGATTGCCAAGACTGGCTCTGCCCGGATCCTACGCACCAATCACCTCTGATCGCCCTTCCAAGAAGCCTCTCGCGAAGCGGAAATTGTCCAGCTTCAGGTCTCTGTGGACGAAGCCATGTCTATGCACTTCACGCGCCGCCAGCAGGATTTGCTGAAGCAGCCTGGTGACAATACAATCTGCCGGTACAGTCTGTAGCATCCGATCTTTTCTGGCCCTTCTCGGGCTGGAATTTGGAGTGTATGTGTGGCTGTGTCTGTGGTCTTGCTTGTTCTTGGGGACTCTCCGGGTGGCCTACTAAGTTACTAAGGCTCCCTAAACCCTTTTTTCTAAAACCCTAAACCCTACTAAGGCTGCTGTTCTTTTTTTTGCTGTACCTGTGCTGAGGCCGATGCGTGTGACGGGAAGGGAATACACTGGAGCTCCTCGAGCAGCCGAGCTAACCCAAGAACAAAACACTACTGGTAAGGCCTAGTAAGGGTTTAGGGTTTAGGGTCACTACTGGTAAGGCTTCTGTGGTCACTTGGAGGTTCATGGGTACCTATATGGGTTATAACTATAGTTACCTTACGTATAACCCCAATTATAACTACCCATGAACCTCCAAGTAGTAAGGCTTCTGTGGTCAAGGAAATTAAAGGAGCCACGGAGACATTTGTGTCTCACCAACCTCCACGTGCCCAAACAAAGATTTCCCAAACAGGATGCCAAGGCAAGATCTTATCGGCAAGCGGCAGCATGACGACCAGCTCGTTTCGGTGCTGTCCCTGCACCAGGCAAGTGCTGCCAGACTGCATGCGGACCGATCACGCTGCTTCCAGCTTCCACCATGCTGGAGCGGTCTACTTTTCAGGGGATAAAGCCTCGTCAGCAAGCATCCAATCGGAGAGATCCGGCCCATCCAAATACTCCATGATGACGTACAAGAAGGTTGGGCTCACGAGCACCTCTCAGGCCGGCGAGAAACAAAAAGCCGTCTGCAAAAGACAGACCCCGGTGCGGACCTGATGAACATGCGTGATGTTCGGCTTGCTCATGAAAAGCCAGTTGCTCACGATGCGCCTTGGGCCATTGGCAAGATGGGCTCAGCTGTGCTGCCCTAAACATGGTATCACTGAAGGAAACTTCTTCCTTGCCACTTCAAGAGACTCTAAGAGTACCGCATACACAGCCATCAGTCAGCCCGGCACCGGTCCAAGAAATCCAGATCGCCAAAGCTCCTTGGGCCGCTTTCCTCCACGGGTCTTGCGTTTACGCGTTTTGCAACATCAGCGGTCCATATTCCCAGCTTGGCACATTCGTTGAAGCATGTTGAGCTTCATGCATACATCGCAACCTTCACTACAGCTCCTCAAACTCCTCGACTAGCTTGTACGAGCAGTGAGTAGTGTACACCCCGGAGAGAAAAAAAACATGCACCGCCAGGTTTGGGGGATTCTTGGCAGCCGAGTCAGCAATTCTTGGTTCAAGCTCTGTGCCCTCGTTTTAGCCCGCTTTCGCAGGGTGTCCGCCCCACCTTGGATCGCTTGCTTATCTTGACGGCCACTTGTGGACCCCCTGATGCCATCTTCGCCACGTAGACCGTTCCTGCCGATCGTCTTGAAGACTGAAGGAGCTCCGAGGCATCTCCCGTTCGTCACACAACGATCTTAAACGAGATGGACTCTGAGACCGCGACCAAAGGATCCATGGCCAATGGTCTCCTTAGGCTCAGACGGACCGAAGCAACTGAAGGTCAGGTTCAATGCTTTAAAGGATGAAGACCGCCAGACATGCACCGGGGCTCTCCAATCTGCACGATGTCCTTGACCCGGTCGTCCTCCACAACCTGCCACGCTACCCGAAGCCCGACACCCATCAAAAGGTGTAAGCTCTGCAACTGCAACAGCACGTCATGGCTCACCCCCAGCCGCGCCCCACTCCACTCGACGAGCGTGCCCCGCCCAGCCCATGGCCCATGGGTCTCATGGGGAGCGGACGATCCCAAGCGCTTACAATTGCAGACATTATAGCCGCAAGTAGCCGCAGCATGAGAAAGCAATGATGAAAGTGGTACAGCATCAAAACAGTAACATGAAGGAGGACGGTGACAGAAGCGGTGATAATCAGCACGTGGTCAGCAAGACCTCCGGCCATCCCAAACTACCCCCAGACAGTCCTATCCTCAACGCTCAGAAGGCCTGCAGCAGACCTTGAGCTGGCCCTGCCATGGCCGTGAGGAGGATTGCCACGACCATGGCCCCGCCGTCGCAGATGCTTTCGCTGCCTCGTTTTTCTGCGGGAAGCTTGGGAAGCAAATTGCTGCCGGCAACAATTTCCCGAGCCCTCCACAGTCGTTGATGAAGCCTCCATAGCAGGGTGAGCTTTTCCTTAGTCCGCACAAAATCTTCAAGTGGGCACAAGCTTCAGTCCCGAAGGACACAAACTTCTCGCTACCTCGGTCCAAATGCGATGTGTAGAGCACCGGTTCCAGCTGAGCGACATGCTGGCCGTGGCTCGTGCCCCCTCTTGGGCGGCCACGGCAATCGCTTCCCAGGGCACGGGAATATCTGCCTGTGGAGTCTTCAGAGACGTTGCTGCTTCAGCTTCCCAAGTCGCGGACGCAGACTGTGCTCATCAGGTCGGAGGCCTCGTCACCCGGAGCCTCTGTCTCCTCCTCTTCCTTGACTTCACTATGCGCTCTTCGTCTCCATGATAACGTTGAGGCCCTTTGAGGCTAGTCAGCTCTTCCTGACGACCAGATGCTGCAAGCCAAGGCTCCACGTCGTTGCCGCTGCCATTGCTGGCTTGCCGACCTGAGCTGCTGAAGTTTCGGCCCCGCGCAGACGTAGCTTCCCGATTCCAAAGCTGCAAAAAACTTCTGACCAGACATCTCCAGGTAAGGATTGTCTTGGGGAGTCTTTACGCACGGGTTTGAAGTTCGAAGATTTCGAAGCGCAAACCGCGAGGCTCCATGAAGCCAAGGAGTGGCTCCAATCGCTGTCGTCCTCCTCCTCCTCCAGTGGCAGCAGGAGCTCGCCTGGAGTGTCGGGTCGTTGGTCCTTTCTGCGCTGTTTTTGTGCTGTTGGTATGTATGTGGATTATGACGTGGCGCCAGTTGTTCGAGGCTGTGCAGGCCACTCAGAATCCACGATGCTTCAGCAACGCGACATGCCAGTCTGATGCACTAAGTCCCTAAAGGACCGATGCGACACGAAACCGCAAGCACGAGTTGCCTTCACAACCCTCAGCGGGTCGTTTGATGGTGCTTCCGGCCGCTTGCAGTGCCGGAAGAAGAGCATCTAGAAACGTGCCTCCCAGGAACAACTTGCAAGGCATGTTCGAAGAAGCATGATACCCTTCAGGTGGACGGAGTACGACACACTGATCTCTGCACTCATGGTTGCAGGCTGTCAGCGTTATGTGGGAGATTCGTAGTCTTTCAAGCGAAGGCACGCTTCCCTTCGGCACATTCGCCAACTTCTTCCACCTCAATTGCACAGATTCCAGCCTTTTTCTCATCCCCCCCCGGTCACACTAGACCGCACTGGGCTCCTGGGGCTCCTGCCTCCTTTTCAGCGGCACAGAAAGCATCGTAAACATCGATGCTGTTCCAGCCCATGTGGTTGAAGCAGCGCTTCCTGCTCCTGCGCAGGTTCGAAGACTACCTCCTTGCTGGAGTGGCGTCCATCGCACCGGGCCTGCCCTTGGCTTTGGCCTTCTTTTGCCACCTCGCTCGCCGGTGCGCCAAGAAGCGGCCGGCTCGGCCGAAGAAGACCGACATCAGGGCCTCGCAATACTACATTTGCCCTGTAAGCCTCAGAAAGCGTGCCGCGACAAAGTCAAGCAGCGGAAAGCGTCCCATCCACGCCACGCATGATATCCGCCAGGCGCAGGAACAGCAAGGCTGGACGAGCCTGCCAGTTGTGCAGTGCAAAGGAGGGCACTGGACTCTCAGACCGCCACGTGCTGCCAAAAGGCCAGCGGCAGGTGGCCATCACCTAAAGCACCCAGGACCAGCCTAGCAGAGCAGGTGAGGAACGAGTCGGAACGATGGGTCGAACGGCTGTGCATTCCGGTCGCTACATGACATGTGCAACGTCACCAGCCTTGGCAGCTCTTCAGAAGCCCACCAACCCGCAAATCCTTCATCTATATCCAATATTTCTACCCAATACCGACAAAGCGGTATACCCGCTTCAGAGCAAGGTTCTGTGCTGCCCGAGCCATGTTCCGCCCCAGGTCGCCATCTGCTGCAGCGGCATCGAGGGCGTTGAGCTCGCGCTCGCTGTCCAGAATAGCCTCAGGCTTTGCGGTTTAGGACAGTGTCAGGCAGTGTCGGCTTCAAGAGCCACGCTGCGGAGAGACTGAGGAGAGGTCCTGACAAGCACGGGTCAGCATCGAGCGAACCTGAACAGCACATCGTCGGGAACTGCTGGGCACGACGAATCTTAGCGCATGGCAATGCGAACTTCTTGCAAGGAGCCAGAGGATGCTCGGAGTCTGCGAAGCGGCTTGAAGCCGATCGCCCGCGTATTGCAAGCAATGGCCGTGGATCATGTCGCCTGCTCAGCATATAAACAGCTAAGATCAATGTTGAACTGCACAGTGCACGTCCTGCGACGGAAACAAGAACATGTACAAGCGCAAGGAATGTGCAGGGCAACTAGTTCTGCCAGATGCATGTCACTAAATAAGTTGGTTTTGGTGAGCATTGTCCGGTCATGTTTTGGGGCATTGCGATGATGACAAGATTGCACGATCCCAGCAGGTCGCAAAGGCCGACTGCGTGCATGCACGTTCACTTAATGGCTTAATGCATGGACACCCAGGGGGCATCGCACTGTCTCCCTTGACTTGAGTCATGGGGGTTCCGGGATGAGTGGCACAAGCTGCTCTGAACCAGAATAATCATAATACTCAACGACACTAACATCAATGCACTGATGGTGGCGCGAAAGAGGTCTCGTCTTGTCGACATGTGTCTAAGTTTGAAGATAAAAGCCTTGGTGCGGAAAGCCCTTCGACCCCACTTGGGAGCTTCGAGCACATCCTGAGCAAACCCGAGTCGTTAGAGCTTGTTGAGCTAAGTTGCTTGACGATCTGCGGATTGCGAGGGATGACGGCAGCCTGACAATGAGCACAACAGATGTCTTCATGGAGTCGCTCAAAAGCGACTACACAATTAAGGAAAGAGAGCAAGCAGCGAAGTCTAAGAAGGCAAGCCGCAGAAACAGGATAAACTGGCCGAAACAGCAAAGCAAATGAAAGGGGCCAGAGTCCTCGAGCACTTGAGAAAGGAAGGCAAACCGTTCGAAAAGGACCAGCGGCTAGCGAATTTGGCTTTGTCAACCAGGGCGTGCCAACCGGGTTTTGGCGCTCACACTCGGACAACCGGGTTTACGTTCTCAGGGGTTTAGGGGTAGGAGAACCCTGCCACCCTATGCCTGGAAGAAGCCTTCGCTTTGCCTCTGCAGCACTACTCAAGGATTCCTCACACACTTCATGCCCTCAATGAAATATCATCACTACAGCACCAGTCGCGGCAGTATTTGGAAAAATGTGCCATGCGGGATGTTCCATACAAAACACAAGAGCCGCAGATAACACCCACAAACACAAAATATTCATCCCACTAGCTTCCATGAGTTCCCCACTTTGAACCCATGTTTTCCTCCAGAACCACTTCATCCCTGCGAGAAGGTCGCAGATGATCCTCGCATATCCTAGCTGCCACAATGTGTGCTTTATCTGTGCTTGCCCTCGCCAGTTCGACCCCGAAAGTATTTCCCATTGAGCCGAATCCTATCCCGACTACATGGCCTGACACAGAACGTGTTCGGATACCTGCTATCCATCCCGCTGAATAGTTGCCCCCTAGTCCCGAAGACATCTCAAGCCTGGCGGTTCGTACTTAGCAGCTGCCTCCTGTTTTGCCCCTGACTCGGCCCGTGACTCTTGCTGCCTTCCAGCCCGTGCACGCAACCGGCGCGAGCAGCCGCATGGCACGAAGAGAGAGCTCGGGGTTCTCACAGCACTCCTGCCGTGTCTCAGGATTCTCAGCAGATTTCAGCTCTCACGGAATGCAGTGCGGACGAGCACGGCCTCCTCGATGTCGTCTGAGCACTCGTTTGCTTCGTCTGCCTCTTCGAGAATCTGCGGGAAGAAGGCTTCGCTTGGCTTCGCCGGAGTCTGGCCGGCATGGCTGGTGCAGTCACTTTGGATATCTGGACCGTCAAAGTGCTCGGGAGAGAAGACCTGAACAAAAGCCTCCTTTGTGTCCTCAGCGTTCTGATGTCAAAGCACACAGCTGAGGAATTCAACGAAAGATCGGAAACGCTGCCATCGCTGCCGAGCGGCTGGGGTTTCATCCCGAAAATGGACACTTTTGGATCGTCGTCGCCCTGTTCGGGGTGCACATCGCCATCCGATTGTCGAGCTATGTCAGGATACTGCGGTGCACCGAACATTACAGAACCGCATCTCAGTGGCCATCTGCGGGCTGGCCGGCATCGTCATCTCGCTTTCTGTCCAGAGCCACGCTTGTCCCGCAAGTGCTGGTGTCGCGATCCTCCAGTGGCAACACACCTTGGCTAGTTATGAAGTGCCTAGCCGTTAAAGGAAATTTTCAAATCATATATATATATATATGTGTGTGTATCTATATCTATCTATCAATCTATCTATCTATCTCCGGAACCGAGACATCTCCAGGCCTGGACTGGAGGCTTCGTCATTCCCGTACTGCTGACTGAGCCCACTCGCCACAGCGTTGCAAGCAGGTGTCTGATGGAGATTCCGTTAGTGTCCAAGGCAGTCATGAGATGTGCTGGCCCAATCCTCGCAACATCTGTTCCAGAACATCGCACAACAGGAAATGCCAGGACTAGACAGAAAGAGGAGGGAGGCGCCTGCAAGTGCAAAAAAAAACGCCCTTAGCCGGCCTTGTATGCGGGAAAAAGGTAGCAGAAGGCTTGAACATGTCCGAGGCTCAAAAGCTTGATCCGGGGTCCGAGCTCCGAATTCATTACTTGGCCGGCAACTAGCTGCATCTCGATCTCAGGCACCGATCCTTAGCACAGACCCAAGCAACTCTGGGCCCGTGGTGGCCATGCGGTTGGTAGAGTCAGTGCGAACTTAGGCACCCAGATTGTTCAGCATGACGCAAAGCGGGACTTTGCGAGGAACATGGATGGCCAGCTGCGACATGATGGTCTCCACAATCTCCTCGCCAGTACAACCCCGCTGTCTCAGGGAACAGGGGTCTTCGGCTGGAGCGGCCCTGTGCCCCATGATTCCTGTAAACCCGCATTAAGATGCAATGGAAAATAAAGTTCAAAAAAAACTAATATAAGTTTAACACACGTTGACACGGAATATTTTATGCAAGTTGCAATAAAATTTGCGATATGAGCTTCAGTATGAGTAGACATAATACAAGCTACCGCAAGATTCATAACATGCTACCTAAGATAGGGCATAAGATATCAGATGTATGATGTTAGAGATGACAGACAATACATGGAACGGAATATATACGCTCTGGCAACTCAGACACTGCCAGACGAGGTTCATCGATGCTCGGTCTCACAACAAACAACGCTAGTTCGGGACCTGTCCAACACGATAACATATACAGTAACCTGCAGTATACACTGTACAGGCCGTAGTTAACACAATCGAAATTCCACGAAATGTAAGACCCAATTGCTGCAGCATACTTGTTATGTAATACACAGTATATACTTGAAACAATATAGGCAGATAGATATACACGCAGTGTATACTATATAATATGTAATCTATATATACAAATATGTCATATAACATAGACTGTGTACTATACAGTGTAGAACATGAGTTGAACAACATGCACTATGTGCTGCCCAATATATTACAAAGCAGGTGCCGCATCTACGGCATATAACTTACAACGGTTGAACTAGACGAGACTATGTGAGGTACAACATACGACTTAAATGCAGTTTTGAAACCTAGGACTAACCAACAAAAACATGAAGCGTCGTCATAAGACGACAACTGCTGCTGCTTGATGTATGACGTAGCACAATCATACCATAGCCAGCCCCGGAGCCCTTTTGCAACTGGCCTGCTGCGACTCTGCCAGGAGGAATACTTGGCCAGAATCACTTAGTGAGTAAGCGACTCGTGCGCTCAGGCCAAGCATCCGGAATGATTTCACATGTAAGTATGATTTGCCGAAGTTTAAAGAGCTCTAACGCCACGGCATGCAAGACGCATGCATGCATGTCATACTGAGTATGCGCGAGACCCACCTGGATGCTGAAGAAATCATGTTCCATGCGTAAATGTAGAATGCATGCCATAACTGAGGTCGAGTGCACTTGCAGACCCAAGCTCCACTGCTGAAACCCTTCACATTCATCCAGCCAAGTGAAGACCCAACCATCTTGGGACCACAGCATGATCACAGAATGATTCCAAACTACCCAGGGAGTAATGAAATTCTTCCACGTGCTGTCGGAGACATGGAGCATGGAGTGCCGCTCAGCCTGAGACAAATTGCCAACGTAGGCACGGCCACGAGAGGCCCAGACATCTCGCTGTGCCGCGACGGCAACGAGAGAATCAACGCTGACATCTAGCCCCGGAGCCCTAAACCCCGTAAGGGCCTTCGCAGTGGTGCTTGAGGTCGCTTTGACTCGAAGACCAGGCTCACCATGGATCCCCAAGCCCACCTCCATTTCGTCTGCCGGGATTGGTCTGGCCTCAGCAATTTAAAAAAAAAATATATATATATATACACACATGTGCACATGCGTTCGCGTGTATATATATATATATGTACATATATACATAGAATAAACATAGATTTACCTATCTACATGTATGTATATATATATATATGCATTTTGTGAGAAGTGAACACTTCTTACTTCTTATTCACGAAGTGTTACGGAATCTCCCTTTCGGTCTTTCGGGCCCTGGCAGGAAGCATTCCGGGAATGCTGCAGGAGTGGAAACTGACCTCGTTGGTAACGAAAGCCCGGGCAACTGCGCAAGTGAAACAGCTCAATAACTGCTCGCCGACTTTGTGACAGGCGGCTCCCTGCGTCCGGACCGCTGCTGCAGCTGCTGCTGTCTCCTCGTAGACCTGTAGTGGGTTGGCGGAGGTGGATCTGGCACAGATCTGCAAGCATGCTCCTGAAAGACGCCACCCATGAATGGTCAAGTGAGCAGAAGCACAGGCCTCATCTAGCGAGAGTTCTGCTGCTGCTGCCGCACCCGCAATCTTGCAAATCAGCAGGGAACCTCTCAAGCAAGAGGGCTTCTTGCGAGTACCCCACAGCCGCATTTACTGAGGCCTGCACCTGCAATGCCTCTCGCCTGCGTGAAATCAGCGCGGGAGCCATACCTCGCATCCGCTCATGCCATTATCTAAGGGTTTTTCTATTATGCCCAGGTATTACACGCAGGATTCGGGCAAGTTGTGGATGAGAGCAAGCAATGTAGTGGGCATTGGGGCTGTTTCTGAGCAAGAGGGCAAGCAATGTAGCAGCAAGCGGTCAGGCACGTGTAAGCTCAGACGACGTGACGAGCGAGCAGACAGTTGCGGCATTTGTCTTTTGGGAGGGGGGTGGGGTGGGGTGGGGGCTCCCGAAAACAGAGTGTAATAGGCATTCCCGCCTTTACTGCTCGCCCAGAGCCCCTCCCCAGAGGCCCCTGGCAAAGCCCTCCCCAGAGCCGCTCCCAGAGTGGGAATCCAAAACATTCCAAACCCATGTCGCTAAACAAGTTGTCGCTCGTGCGGGCAAAACCAACAAATCCAAAGCCCCAAAGCCGGCAACCGTAGTAAGCATCAGCACACGCAACCACGATAAAATACGACATTCGGCCTCTTGCTCGTGGCCACGTCATCAGACACGCAGACCACTTTGACCCGCAAGTGTAAGCGAGTCCTCAGTGTGTGCATGTTGAGCGACATGTGCCTTGTTAGTCTCTATCACAAGCAGTAGTGTCCTATTGCAGATTACAACAGATGGTCTGCGATGCCGGTAGCTGTTTCATCATGATTGAGACTGCTTGTCTGCGATGCCTACTCTTGTCGTTCGCACAGGTGCATTTATTCAACTTCAACATGTCATTGATCTTTGGTCTCTGGCTCATGGCATCGTTCTGGTCACCCCAGCCACTGCTCTCCAAGCTGCTGGACTTCCTTCACAGCAGACATGAAGTTCAGCCGGGTGCCTGCAGCTCGGTTTTTCAGGACTGCAGCGCTTTGCAGTGTCAACTACATGACGGGCTGCGTGCCTGCGTTCGACCTGACCACGACGATCGCTCCGGCACTGCCGGTGATGGCCTCCAGCGTAAATTCAAAGCGGGGGACGTTGAGCGGTTGAAAATCCGTTCCACCCATCGTCCAGTGACGTCTAGCCGAGTCTAGACTCGACGCCAGCGAAGAGACTTTTGCATCCAAGGCGCTTCTAGGGCACGAGCCACTGCATAGGCAGAGGGTGAAGCAAAAATTTCGCCACAAACAACGGCCGTCAGCATACCATCACCAATCCTCGAGCAGGGCTCTTAGCCAGAAATTAAATCTCGAGCGAGTCGCCCGGAGGCCTGCACTCCAATCCCTCCAATCGTGGATTTGGCAGGAGTTTGGCATGCAAAGGCTCATTCCAGCATCTGCCGGCTCATGGCCGGAGCCACCCCCAGACAGCACCGCCACTCGGCCACAGTCGCGAGACCAGGAAGACGAGATGAGGACTTTGACCTTCCAACAGACACGGACACATTGGCAGCCTGCGGCCTAGCTGCTGGCCCTTCCCTCGCAGCCTCCGGGTACCCCTCCAGGAGCTGCACATTTGGATGTGTCCAGAGGTAGCCTTCCAATTACTGACGAAGATTGACCACAGCAATGAATCGTAGTGGCAGTCGTGCTGGTATATAACGGTGGTAGTCGTCGCCGTCGTCGTCGCAGTTCGCTGGCATAGTCGTAGCAGTGGCGGTAGAAGTAGAAGCAGCAGCTGCTGCTGCAAGGGTCGTTGAGGTAGTCGCAGTAGAAGCAGCAGCAGATGGAAGCGGTAGTAGCAGAGTAGCCGGAGGAGTATCAGCCGTAGTAAGTAGTAAGTAGCAGGAGGAATAGTAGCAAAACGAACGGTAGTAGAAGCACAGGCAGCTTTAGTAGCAGTAACACTGGCACCATCGCTGGTTGTATCGACAGTAGTTAATAGCAAAGGCTGGCAAGAGCGCATGTAAGCAAGAAGACTGCTCACAGCCAATGCCAAAACAGTGGTTCAGTGGTGCCGGAAAGGCCCGCTCAGGCAACCTTCCAGAGCATCAGCCACAACTTCTCGTGGGTGATTCACGAAGCGCTTCAGTGGCAAAGAGCCAGCAGTCCTTGTCAAGGGTCAGGGCTTCGTCCGGCCAGCATTGCAGCAATGAAATGTCTGGCATTCGCTGAGTGGTCTATCTCCAAGCCGTCACGACCCCAGGAGCACAAGAGAGAAAATTCACGACTATTACCGTAATCCACTTGTCACTGTAGCAAAACATCCATCGCAAACCTCCCAGAGTTGTAACTGCAAGTAACAGCACTAGCAGATAGTGACAACCAGTCCCAGAAGCAATTAAGCAATTGGCAATCACCGAACATGCGCTTCAGCATGGATTGTGCTCCGGGAAGCTACTCTCCCCGACGGGTCAGGCGGTCGCCGGCAGCGATCAGAAAGTTGGAGCCAGGAAGTTAAAACCCCAACCGAACCCTGCTTCTTTTCAGCGAGTGTACAGATAGAGCTGGTTCCAAAGAGTTTCGATGGAATCTAAGCCAGACTCTTGAGCTGGCTTTTGAGGGTTTGATGGGTTTTCAACTGGGTCGCAGGTTGTAAAGAGATTCTTTCCTGATTTGAAGAATCCTTGTTTACCTTTCAGTCTTGGAGCCGGCAAAAACTTCTATTGATGGGCTGTATGAGTAGGCCCGGTTCGATTGGTTCAACTGGTGCTTCAAGTGGGTTCTTGAGCGGTTTCTAATGGCAGCTGGTTTTGGATCATAGGTTTAGGATCTGGCTCTAAGGTGTGTTTGTGTGCCTTTGGAGCCTCATCCGCGATATTTGGACAGGCTGGGCAATGGCAGTGACGCTCAGTGGCGCAAAAAGAAACCCGTTTCGGGTATATGGGGCGCAAGATGCAAACAAGGCCCAGATGCATGTCTAGGCATGTCTTATGCGCGTGAAAACTCTATATATTGCCCTGCCGAGAAAGCTGCAGGGAATCTGGGGCTTCGAGGTCGCTGGTGGGGCGGTTCAAACCGAAGCCTGGGCCTCGTCAGAGTGGCTACAGTGCTGCGACACTCCTTGCCGTGCTATACTTCGTTTCTACTGTATCATGCTGCGACGGACGGTTGGGCCATGTCACGGCTGTACGATGTTACGCTCTGACAACTGGGACAATCCAGGCGAGGTCTCAAGAGCAGTCGAAGTGAAAACAGTTAGGGTTTGAGATGCTGTCGTACAAGATGCTGTGTGATGCTATTCCATGCCCCTGAATGACATTCTGTGTCCCTGGAGCCCTCGTCCCGTCGCGGCCATGTCTCTGTCCCATGCTCAGACAAGGCCGCTCGGCAACATCGGGCCCGTCAATGAACTGACTGGCTCTACATTCTGACAACAGGCAGCAATCTGCGATGTGCTGTGTCTGGAGCTGCTTGGAGTCTGGGGAGAATTGCCTACTGTCCGAACTCTGGATTGTCTCTGCGTGCTGCGTTCGGGCAGTATGGTCCAAAAGGTGTCAAGTGTCTCGTGGCTCTGACAAGTTAAAGCCCATGTGGCCTCCATGTGATTCAAACTACCTCTGGAACTACCGCGGCCGACAATCACAGGAAATGCACTTTCACCCGATGGTGCCCCGACATTGTGTTGGAAAGGTTCAGCCAAATGCCCAATGCCTGTGAAGAGAAAGCTGAGGCTGTGGCTGAATCGCGCTGGTCTGCACCCTTACATGCCTTGCAGCACAGATGACCGACTGGGCCAAAGAGAACACCGCAGTAAATCAGAAAACCAAGAAATCCAACACCCTAAATCCATCTAGAATGGTCACAGGCCAAGTGGCACATGTGCCGTTGGATCGCGATGTGGCCAAAGGTCCACCTGGAGCTGGCTAAGGTCCAGCTGCCTGCGCAGGCTGACACATGGCTTCGGCTCGAAGGTTAACGAACAACACCAGTGCAGTCTCAGGGCGAATACGCTGAGCAGAGGAAATACGCGATTCACAACAGGTGCTACGACGACTCAGATTTCTCTGACTATGAACCAATACTATCAACCCTTGTGCGTATCATTGTTGCGGTGCCGGTCTTCTTAAGTCTTAGTGATGACGGTGTTGGTGCGTGTTGCTGCTGGGTCATGAGTGAGCACGGCTGTTCAGTGTTGTTGTTGTTGTTGTCCATTGCCTCTTCATTGTTGCTTCTACTACTAGAACTCTTGCTTCTGTCATGCTCTTGTGTTTTTGGGTTGCTATTGCTCGAACTTTACTTTTACATCAACATTCTCGATATTCCGACTCTGATTCCTTTCTCCCGGCTAGTACTTCACCGGATGTCACCCAGTACGAATACTGCACGCTGCATTCGTTCTGTTACATCATGCACTGCTTCGCTGTTACACCTGGCACACTCATCAGTATCATACAGTTCCTTTCGCAACAGCATGTTCACCTATCCGGTTCTTACACCCGCATCTAGGCATAACGTCATGATGTCATAGCATGGCATTACATAATATTGTCATGATACCAAGTGTTATTGTGTTGTCTAATGACTGGGCTGCCAGAGTTTTCAAGAAGAAACGCATGGAATCTGCATTCGACTTCGTATTGCACTGCAGGGTCCTGTGTCCGAACACTCCTGTTCTTCTCATTGGCCACGCTGCTTAAGAATGTTTACAGAAGATGTTATATCTACGAACCAAAAACACAAACACACATGCACACACGGTCGGACGGACGGACGGACGGGCGTGCATGTGCATATTATTTATATATATATATATACATACATACATATATGTGTGTAAATACATATATATATATATATGTGTGTGTGTGTGCGTGTGTGTGTATGTATATATATATATGTGTGTGTGTGTATGTATGTATGTATGTATGTATGTATGTATACAGAAGCGGACCCATACATATATATATATATTATATATATACACATGTGTGTGTGTGCGTGTATCTACACTGAATTTATTGTCTCCGTGTGCGGAATGACGCGAGCTAGAGCAGCCGGAGCATGCACTACAACGAGATGGTGTGCACTGGTACTAACATCAAACCACCGTTTTCTGATAAGGAACGATTTCTTCCAGTAATCAAATCTTCCGATTGGCCGCCCCTGCACTGCACCTTCAAGTCCCATTCCTTCTTTCGCGATCTGATCTCAGGTCGGAGAGTTCGGGTGAAGAGAACGCGAGCGGAGTCCGAGTGGTTGCCGGTTCAGAGCTTGGAGCTTCGACGGTGATCTGAGGCTATTAAAGGGGGCCTTACCTATTATGCTATACCACATAACGATTTGGGTTTCTGATCTGTAGAGATCTGTAGAGACTTAGTGGACTTACTTGGTATCTGACCATTTGCAGGATGCAGGTGAAAAAGCGGCTGCTAATTCTCACCGGCCATGACCTGCTGACATGTGCTCGCACAAACACGCGCACACCTATGCTCTGTCGAGGAATCTTTCATATAATGTTATGTATATGCAGGTGTATATATATATATGTGTGTGTATATATATATACATATCTGTGTATTATCTTGAATTCCGCTCAGCCACAGAGGAGTTGTATGCGAATATGTGTATATAGAATACTAAACGTAGCCGCTCTCCCTGCACGTTTCGGAGAGGCCAACATCGAAGCAACTGATCCTTTTCTTCCGTGCGCCCACAGTCTCGAACCTAGCGCAGGTGGCACCACTTGCTTGGAGGACATGCCTGGCCTCGGAGAGTCTTTGGACACATCCTGCACATCCACGCATGCGTGGAACGCGAGCAAAAGACCAAAACAGCAGTCTGGGATGTGCTTCAAAGACATCCCGCTGCCGGTTTCGAACAGTGGAAGATAACACGCGCGCAAAGATGCCTAGTCTGGGATCCAATCCAAGAGGGACGGCCTCGAAACACGGCTGTCCACTGTCCACCCACAGCCTGGGTCATCAGCAGCTTCTGCTCTGCAGAAGGATGCCTTCTTAATTACTTCTTGATCTCGCCGGTCGCATCCTGAGCGCGTCTTGCTTTGACCTGCTTGATTGCTTCACGCAAGAAGTTATCGCGTTCTTCTTCCGTGTACACAACGGCCATGGGTTTGGCGGCAGAGCACAGCTTCTGGATCACGTAAGTGCAGCCACTCACGGCCATACCTGCAAAGGAGTTTTGGACCATCACGCAGGTGACCAAGGCATGCTGCGACAGGAGTGGGCTCATCTCGTCGTCGTTCATCCATTTTATGATCGTAGAGCTGTTGTGCATAGAGGGTGTCCTGGAATGTGTGGAGTATGAGGCATGGTGCGAAGCAAGCTGGATTGCACTAATGAGAAAACGAAACACTCCCATTCTTTCCTCAAGTTGCGCCGACAAAGATGTCGGTCTCACCACGAAAGACCTATCTCCTAACCCAATCTCTCGGCCTACCGAAAGATTTTTGTTCGAACAGACTCGGACAGTGTCCTCAGATCTCGCAGGTCGTAGCAAAGTGCGAAATCAACCTTTTCCTCGGCTGGAATCGAACTTCGAAAAAGCAGCAATTCTACTGATGCAAGTTCGTTGGCCCCCCCCCCCCCCCCCCCC